AATCTGATATCCATGCTAAATGATAATTTCATTTCACCAGGTGACCAGAACTCCTCCTTCTCTTCCTCCCCCACATACTCTTATTTTAAGTATATTAGTACTTAGGGAAAATTATGGGGCTACGTGGGTGGCGGCCCACAAACATAAAGTGGGTGCTGAGATCCTGCCTTCTGAGAAGAGCTCACCAGAATGACCAGTGAGGGCAGTGAGTGGGCAGAGCCCAATGCTGGGAGTGCTGCACCTGCCAGCATCCTGCAAGGTGACTACTGCCTGTGGCTGTGACAGGACAGCCCGTGCCCACGTCAGGAAGGGAAAGTGCTGCACCCTTACTGGTCATGGTGAGTCATTTGTACCTTCTGCTACATCTGGCATGAATTTCATTTTGAGTTACTCCTGTGCATCATTATTTTCAATATTTCCTTCACCAGAAGCTGGAGTCGCAGAGGTGAAATTACATTTACCAGAATCTGTCATTAAAATTGACAGCTAGTTCTTATTAGAAGTAAAATAATCAGGTTTTTGAACAGCACTGAACAGTGCCATTTTCAAGTAGTCACATGTGGAGTAAGACCATTCATCAGAAATAATAATGAGAATATAATCCCAAGTATTCAAATGTACCTGCCTGTACTTTTCCCCTATTAGAGTTGAAATCAAGCAAGGAAACAGTACTTGGGGGACAAGTCCAATTAACCATGAAAAAGCAGAATTTACCAGATGACTAGCAAGCCTGTTTTAATTTAATGGAAAATTTGTGTTACTCTTTTGTCTTTACATAACACTGTGTGCACCTTAACACTAAGCATTAACTTCAGATAGGTTTTTGTACCACCTTGGATTACATCCATAGTTTTGGTCTCACCTATCCTGTGGTGATGGGTTGCCAGTGTCTCTTTTGGCCATGCAGATTTATGTCAATTTTTTATGGCCTCAAATAACTCTATTGTAAACTCCTGGACTACACAGAGGACCTTTTGCCTTCAAATACACACCTTTGTTGTGGCTTGGAAAACTTTCCACCAGGACTTTACCTTAGTGCCTTCTCTGGTTTTATCTTATACGTATATTAAAGTATTTTACAGGAATAGATTATCAGGAACTTGGACTCGGTTTTTCAAAGGAATTAGGACCAAAACCTTTATTTGCACACTGCCTGTCAGGTGTAACTGCAAGGACTTTCTGCTGAAATAGAAAAGCCACACTGAGAAATAAGGCAAACCAAGATAGCCAGAACAGCATTCATTGGAATTGTGTCTGTTTATATTTGAATCTCTTGTTTGGAGGAAGTTCTGTTTTTATCTATAATACTATGCAAGTTCCTATAAAAATCAGTTTGATGTTAGTATTACTCAATTTCTGAAGAAATCATTTGGTTTTGTGTTGAGAAAGCTTACTGCCAAGCCCCCTCTGCTGGAGGGAAAAACCATGTTTTCATCCTTGCATGCTGAAAACATCTAGTAAAAGCATTCCAGCTTATTATTGTGCAAGTATTTACAGGCTCAGAGTTCACAAGCTCTTTACTACCTTTCTATTATTATCTATCATTATCTGTCGTAAGTTGTGCTTTAAAGAAGAGTCTGGATGATCACTGCAATTTTGTTCAAATTACTCCATCTGAATGAGTCAGTGTGTTGAAAATTCATCTTCCCAATTGATTCTTTTATCATCCAAGTTATTTTCAGCAGTGTCCACCCTCTTCATCCCCCTGCTATATCTTGTATGTATTACTTACACATGTTCACGCTGACTATCACTACACACTCTTAGAGTGAACTCACATAATACAGCAAACTGGAGAAATCTGACTGCAAGAAGCCCACGTGTTTTTCCAAGGCAATTCAAACTGCAGAGGTGTGCTTGTCTTTCTGACTGCTCTGCTTGTCTCTCAAGTGTGACAAGAGCAGGTCACTGGGTGAAAGACAAGAAGCACAGACACAGCAAGGAAAGGGAATCCAATAGCTTCAGCATTGAATAAGATCATGGATTTCAGCCCTGCTCTGAAACACACTGCCTGGTGAACTTGTTCTAGTTACTTAGGCTAATAGCCAGAAAAGAAGTGTGTCACAACATTGAGCATTGCCCAAAGAAAGTTGGAGGTTTCTGAAATGAAGTGCTGGACCTGTTTATGGTACTCTGTGGTGTACATTGAGAGCACTGAATTTCTTTGAAAGGACATCCAGAGCAGCCAGTGTGCCATGCAAGCAGTCAGTAATGAACTGTTGCCTACAGAACTAAAGATTTTCCTCTCTTGTGATTGTTCAAAAATCAGTCTCTGAAGAAAGGCAGTCTTAAAAATGGAGCAAGCCAAGAGAGCAGCTGATTAGTACTTAGACTTCCCTCAGAATATGTAAAAGTAAGATTATATCCCTGCTTGGTGGAGAGCAGTCAAACTTCAGTTTCTCCCTTTTCTTGCAGTTGTCCTAACAACTAAGTAGCAGTCCCTCTCACTGAGAGGGAATGAGGAGTATTTGTTAAGTATTTGGGAACTTAACATCTAGAGCAGTCGCTTGTGGCTGGGAAACACTGAATTCTGGTGACCCCTCTGAGTGCTGTTAACTTACTGTAGATTAATCAGTTATTAGATAAGCTACTTAAGTGGTATTTGAAGCTGAGACAGAAGTCAGTGACTCACCTCTGTTAAATCAAAGCCACAATCTGCAGGCCTAAAGGCAAGGCCCATTCTTTCTGTAGGTCAGTGGCTCTTGAAAGCCTTTCTGTGAACTAAAGCAAGTTCACAGGAAGACCAGAGAATATTTCCTTCTATGGATTTGTGGTGTGAAGTCCTAATTTCAAAATAAGCTTGAGAAGCATGTCCTTGAGTCCATGCCAGGGAGAGGTTTGATTCCCCAAACTGAAGCCTGAAGCACCCACATTCCCACAAAAGATCTCAGTAGTAAACTGCTGGATAAAAACTGAGGAGGTTGAAAAGATAATGATACCCCTTTAAGAAAGTGTCTAATGAAGTCTCTGAAGGGATGAGAAGTACTTCAAGCCTCTATTATTTAATTCAGTTTGAAAAAATAGTGTCAGTTGTTCCATAAACATTAAACTAGCAACCCTGAGGGAAGGAAAACCATACTGAATTGGTGTTTCATGTTAAAAATATTTTTTTAAAAAATGTAGTTGTATTTCAGATGAAAATATGAATTAATTAGTTTCCTAAAATATACTCTTAAGTACAGCATGTGAGATTAAATGAGTATTCAGCCTTAGCTGCAGCAGCCAAATAAATGTTAGAGTTAACAACAGGTTTGGACCACAAAGAACTAGCCCTGAGTTCTAGGGAAGTTAGAGAACCCAGCCCATCTTTGGAAACTGATGCCCAAGAGGGCAGAGGCTGAAAAACAAGTACTCTCAGTTCTCCTGTATGCAACATGTTGTGATTATGCAACATTTCCTGGCTGATGAAATGCAGCTGCAGTACCTCCAGGTGTAAGTCATCTCTTGCTTTCTAATTTCAATGCAATAAAGAGTTCCTTTTCCTTCTGACTGAGAAGGTTTTATTGCAGGATCTGTGTACACTAAAGGAGGAAGAGGGTGGGAAAGATATAAGGAAGTGCTTCAGTCCAAAGCAGTGGGTAACCAGAGTCAGCTTTGCAACCGGAGGAGCACCATCCTGCTGAGGCATTTGGACATGCTTAGGTACACCTCAGAGTTTCTAAGTCTGCAATCTAAGGGTCTCATCCCACCTTCACAGGACTCTTGTGCTTGTATGATCAGAGTTAACCTGCTTCCAGAGGCCAAATTGTGCCCAGCCAAGTTGTAGCACTTAGTAAAAGTGCTGGAAAAACAAGTTCCCTCCTGCCATTCAGTGGGATGTAGGACAGGGACTGACCCAGGACACAACATGTCTCTTTCCAGAGGCCTGTTCTTTTTTACCTGTGCATTCTAAAATGATAATTTCTTACCTGTGCATTCTGAAATGCAGTCTGCCCATTTAGGCAGAGCTGCAACATGAAGGTACAACTTGAGAGCTATTGAGTCAAGGCACTACATATCCATACATTTATAGACAATATAAACACGTGAATTAAAAGCAGCAAATGAAAACCATGATGGAAACTTGTTCTTCAGTATGAGCCTGCAAGAGACAACTACCAGGAAAGATGAAAGCATTGTTCCTAAGGCACGTATCTGTAACTTTTCTGATGAAATAATAAACCAATATACTTTTTCCTACTCATGTACCAGGAATTTAAACAAGCTTAGTGTAAGATTACAAACCATAAACTATAACTTGAGGACATTGTAAAACATGAAAAATGCTTGGAATTCAAGGACAGAAACTTTTTCCACAGTTTATGAGTAAGAACTTCATGGCACGGCTACTTTTATGACTTTACAAGTACTCTTTACAAATGTTATCAGTTTGCAACGCTCCACAGCTATGTGACAGAAATTGCAGAAGTACTGGAGGAGGGAGCTTTACTGCTTTACATCTGGGAAATGCAGCCGTTACAAGGAAATGCATCTATCTATTGCCCAGATCAAAAGATGAATGAGAAAGATTCTCCAGTTACTTTCAGTTCTGTTTCCTTTGGCTGGAATTTTTTTCCCCAGACAATCATGTGTCCAGCCAGAACCCAGGGTAGTACAATGACATTTCTAAGAAACAGAAGGGAAAGTTGCCACAAGCAAAAGGGACATTCACCAAATGCTGCCAGTTTTGATTAAAATTTGGCACTATTTAAATGAACATTCCTGTGAATGTAGACTTCAGAGATCTTCTTAATAAGGACTGTTCCTTCCAGCCTTGTTTGTAGAAGTTGCTAGTGACCATTACTCAGGCTGATACCACAGGAGGCCTGAAGTGTGTAGCATTTTTCAGAAGGCAGTACACCATTCTGTCAGAAGAATCAGTGACTGATACTCAGCAGCACTGGTTTTATGAGCAGTATATACTGTTATTTAACTGGGCCAGCCAAAGTGTTTTGTGAATTGTCCACATTATGTATTCTGAATTGAACCTACATACCTGAATGCTTAATTTTTCCGGGCAGGGAAGAACAGTGGAACTGGAGAGTGAATGGAGCCAGCCCAGCTGCACTTGAAAAACGTCTGCCCAAAGGTATTAATTCCTTCATCAATATGCTTAGCTGCTGTTCACAAACCTGGATGGAGATAAAAAAGGGGCCTGGAGAATATTCTCACTATCCCCAGACACTCACTCAAGTATTTCATTTGCCAGAAATGAATGTAAAACTGCATTAAATGGCAGCATGAAAGCAGTAGTGAGTGTGCTTCAGCCTCCTTAGCTCCACTGGTGAGTGCTGGAAGCTCTTGTGGTCTGGAGTGGACTGAAACACCACTGAGTTCCCAGCAAAGGAAGAGCCAGAGGTACCAGAATGCAAATAAACCAATGGTCTGTGTCAAACAGTAGGGTCAACTGTTCAAGTCTCCCTCTGCCTTAAAAATCTATGAAAACAACAAAAATGTAAATACCTAACCCATATCTGTTATGGTTATTAGTTATCACAGTGTTATTTTTATAGGAGTCTAGATAACGTATTCACAAACCAGAGGTATCTGTAGGTGAGAAAAAGAAACTTGTATGTGCCTTTCACTTTCACCCAACACGATTTCTCATAAATTAAGCTGTACCCAGCAATGGAGCCCAAGATCTGATAAGCTTTGCCTTGCAAATCCAAGGTTGTATGCTTCCCTTTTCCGTTCTCCAGTGTCTATTGTCTGATGTTTGTAGTTGTTCAAATTGTAACAGAGCAACAGCTCTTCAAATGCTCCTGTGTAAAACCTGAAATTACTTCAACATAAATGCTTGATGTTTGGAATGTAAAAAGTCCAAAGGTGCAACCAAAAACGTGCACACAATGTCCTGCCAGCTCTGTAGAGCCACTCTGTGATATTTGCATGAGTCTGAGGCACCATCTGCACTAAACTGATGTCTCCTAGTTGGCTCTTAAAGTATTGACAGTTTCTATTTTGAACAAACAAGCACTGATGGCTTTTACAATAGAGTGCACTACTGCAAGTCTGGTTTTGTGGGCTTGTCAGGTTTTGAAAATAAGGCATACTGGGTCTGCATCTATCATTTATTGCTGCTTTTCATGACAAGTTGAAAGCTTGCAAAGTTTTTGTCTTCAGTATATTTGGATCCCTAATGAGTCTTTTTTTTGGTTATATTTGAATTTCAAGTCCAAGTTTTGTTGTTTAGTTTGGAAGGTGGTCCTATATAGAGCTACATTCAGAAACAACCATTGTGTTGCAAACTATGTGCAAACTTCTAGCCTTCTATAAAAATCAAATACTTTCATATAAGTCATTAGTAACTATTTAAATATACTTAGGTAGATAAATGTTCTTACAGTTGTCTCACTACAGACTTCACACAACCATTAGTTCAGTAGAAACATCAGCTTACATGTACATAAAAAGTGATTTTAATATTTTCCCTGGAAGCAGGTCCTTTTCAGTTTCTTTCTATGGTTCGTGTTGTTTTCCTGTTTAGTTCATACAATGAGGTTCTAAAGTCTCACTGGAAGGAGCTGATGAAAATCTTGGAGCACCAGTAGGTATATTTACCTTCACCAAAACCAGGTACTGAGATGCTCATGGATGAGTTGTCAGTGATGGCTGTTCAAGACAGCGAATGCCAGCAATAAAATTCTGACCTTCATTCCATTAAATTCATATTTGACCTTGTATATTCAGGACTTAGTGGAAAGAGCTGGGTCTAAATTAGAGAGTTTCAGCACAGTGCTTTCACATAAGGTGCTGTACAAACTGAAACCTGTGATTAAAATTACTTAAATCAAGAGGTGGAGGCAGTTTGTGACATTTTAATGTCAAATTGTATTTTAAAACATGACATTTCCATATGGCTTGTAGAGGTCTTTCTAAAATGAACTGATGAGATGTCTTCCCATTGGTTCAAGCAGTCTTGTGTCTTGATTTTTTAAATAAAGAAACCTTAGAACGTGAAAATATACTTCATCAATTATACATTGAGTATTCTGATTTAAGAAGAACTCTGTGATTTAACATGACATTTTATATCTTAGACCTATTAAGAGATAAGTAGGTCTTGTATATCCATATACTAGTGCGACTTCATCCAAAATTACCGCTATTAACATGCCAACATTCATTCATTCATTCATTCACTCACGCCAGTACTTTGGGAGCAGGCTGCTATTTGTAGGGGCTATGGCAATAAATGCATTCTACATCCAGGCTTGTAAGTACTTCTGGGTTTGAATCTTGCCTTAAGAATACACATCATAATAAGAAACTGGAAACTCAAGCTTCTTTAGGTCTCAATCCAGCTATGTACACAAAACCATGTAAGTGCTGTTGTTGAGCAGCTTCAAACAAAGTTTCACTGCTGTTGATTTCCTCTTTATATTTTTTTTGTTTTTTCAGCTGTTTGTTGTGAATCCATGCCTGGTGTCCCTCTGCAGAGCAGCACAAGGCCAGCTCTTCCTCCAGCTGTGATTTTTGCTTTTTCTTTCTGAAGTACCAGTTCCTGCTGAGCCCTTGGCAGCATCCTTCCCTCCAAGGGCATTCCTCTCCCCCTCAGGGTGTTACTGCCAGCACCAGGTGAGTTAGGACACCATTGCTCACAAGCACTTTCTGAAGAAGATGCCAGTGCTCCTTGGTGCCCTGTGTTCAGTCCAGGATCCTTTTTGTCTGCATCCCTGGGCAATCACATGGACAAAGCTTTAGTTATAGCTTCATGGAGAAGTGCAGTCCTTTTACAAACAGATTCTCTGATCTCAGAGCAAAATTTGGTTAGTTAAGGACAGTCATGATGTGTGTCTGAGGTGATACTCCATGGGAACACAGATAAACACTGACCAAAGCACAAAGCACAAAGGGAGTAGTGAGGACAATTCACTTTTCACATTAATTATCAGTGATTAGAAACAGCAGTCTGGTCTGCTTAGCTGTGCAACCTGCAGCTGCCACCAAAGCTGCTATTAAATGTGTGCCCCTGAAGACTCTGCAGAGTAACACCACACAGCAACAGCAGTGTGGGCTTTCTCCTCTCTAGCTCCCTGTAGCTTTTAGATGCTCACTTCAAACTTTATTCCTCAAGTAGCTTGATGCTAACTTCCAAAAGCTTTTTCCTAAATTAATGCCTGTGTGTGCTGAATGTGAGATTGGTGTAAAATTCTTGAGTTACTTTATTGAAATTCTGCATTCCTTTCATCTGTGCTCTAACATTTTATTAATTTGAAATTATCTTGATTGGTGGTGCTGTAGCAGTGATGTTTTTAGTTTAAACAAGATAAAGTTCATAGAGAGAGGTGGTCTTTTTGATTGGACCTGTAAAAGATCTTGCCTGCATGAAAATTTGACTATTAGTAAAAGCCTCTCCCTACTAAGCACCAGAAATTTATTTCATGAATCTTCCAAGAGGCCTTGAATATTGCACAATCCAGCCAATGTATGCTCTGGAATGGCTGTAGCCTCTCAGCCTTACTGGCTTCTATGTAAATTTCTATTTGACAACTCAGATTTTAAATTTTTGGAAGTAAAATGTTACTCTTCTGCTTACTTTACTTTAGGAAAATTATTCTGTCACATTGCTGAATGAACTGCATGCTGACCATGCTAATCAGAGAGTATTAATGTAAAGGCAGCAGCTGTCAAGGGAAAGCATTGTAATCTGTATTTCCCAACACTGGTTATAGGGACTCTCCAGTCTTGTTAAGCTTTTGCTAAATTTTTTGCTAAGTTAATTTTGCTAAGTTTCTTTTATAAAGTGAAACTTGGTCACAAAGGTGAGTGACTGAAGTCTCTTAGCTACTGACCCAACTTCAGTAAGGATGAAGATCTAATGCTTTGGATGCCATTAATATTTCCTGTTTAAGGAGTTCTTTTTTTCTTGTGCAGGAGTTAGAATAAGCCCATCTGGAAGCCAGCTCTGCAGACTATTTCTAGAGCAGCAAGCAATACTAGTGAACTAAAGACCAAGCAATACTGGTAAAGATAAGACTAGTTAATTAATTTTTTCCTTTGATCATGTCATAGTCCTATTCCATAGAACACTGATTTTATTTAATTTACATGCCAGCATATTTATACCCTGGAAAGAAACCAACAGGTGACACCCACTTCTGCAGAACACAACTGGAGTTCTGTAAGTATTTCCTCTAAGTATTCTTTGTAAATGAAATGAGTCAGCTAAGCTGAACAGCATCACCCTTTTCACAGCCTGCAGGCTCTGTGGCAGGGATGTGTGGTGAGTGACAGGAACTGAGTAAGTTTGCATGCTGGTGGGAGCAATGAAATAATTTCTCATGCTAAGGCTGGCTGTACAAGCTGAGGTTTTCCCACTCACTGAGATGCTGTTTTTTGTCTCCACGCTGGGTGCAGCTGGCAGCTCCTGGCAGCTGCAGGAAGGCTTTTGCCATAATCCTCTAATGACTCCACTAAGCATAAGCTCACATGCCATGTAGAGTATCTATTCTCAAGCAAAAAGAGCACAGGGAGGTACCTTGCTAATGCTTTAGTTGATGGTAGTTGCCACAAAAGTTAGGTCACTGTATCTTAGAGTGACTCCTCTGTCACTCAGAATCAAAGTTCAGATTTTGGCTCCATGACACCATGGGAGAGGCCAGACTCTTCTTGTTATAAATAGTGGGATTTTGATGTCTGTCGCTCACATTTACCTGCCCTGTCCAAGTCACATCTAAAATACCACAGCCATCTCCTAAGTAAAACCTTGGCAGGTCGTACCTAGAGTTTTCCTGTTTCAGCATATGACTTTGCTGGCTCCAGGTCTTTAGAAATTCCTGGTCAAACACAATTTAGTCATCTGTCAGACTGCTCTGTCCCAAAGCATAAATTACAAGCAGCTGAATCTCATGTTAGGGATGTAAATACAACTGACTTCAAACCCATTAATTCTAACTTGTTGATCCATTAATTTCAAATAATTAATTATTTGATGAGGAGATAGTCTAAAAAAAAACCTTGAAGCATAAAGATGTTTTTCCAGACTTCAGTCAGCATGTCCACATTGCATCTTTTATGCAATATAAAACAAACACCAGGAACAACTGCATTTTATATTCTTGTGTTTGTATCATATTGTTCTGTGTGAAATGTAAGAAAATAAGTCTAAATTAGATCTCTTGGAGGTCAAACGTGATATTGACTGTATGTGCTAAAAGCTGACCTTTAGTGAAGTTTCATCAGAATACCAGGGAAAGGAAGACAGTTTCAGACCCCACACTTGCAGAGTAATGTATTATTGCAAAGGATTGTTTTCCCAGCTTTCTTCTGTGATGCTGAGCTCCCATGTGCTGCTTCCTTGTGCTGAACCAGGATATGAAAGGCTCAATCCTACCCCTTTGCAGTTTACTCTGTCACTGTGGGCAGGCATTGTTGCCAGAATAGAGCAGGTGTTGGCCTGTCCCCATCTCATCCTCTGAGTTCTGAATGCTCTAAGTTTCTGGGCTGCCAGGGACAAGGTTTTTTTACAGATCTGTTTTATGGACATTTGTGAGCCATTCAGACATAACCATTATGATCCATGTATTTTTCAGCTCCACACTTGTGACTTTTCTTGCAGTCAGCTGTGGAGCTCCCAGCTAGCTCAATTTCTAAAGTAAGTGCTTACAAAAAAAAAACCCCAAAAAACCCCTCAATTTCTAAAGTAAGTGCTTACAAAAAAAAAACCCCAAAAAACCCCAAAAACAAACTTTAAAAAAAGGCCTCATGATTATTTGGATTCCTAATCCTAGAAAAAAACCAATTGAAAATTTGTTTGAAATCCAGTTCACAACTTCTCAGTACTACAGGAGAGAAACAGAAATAAAATTGAAGAACCTGTTCTGTACACATTGGCCAATGGACTGGAAAGAAGGATTTTTTAAAATTCTTTCAGGGTAGGATGAAAAGCTGTAAAAGATCAGACTTCCTGATCAAGGGAAAGGATTTTTCTGCTTCTGTAATATCAGTCTTTTACCAAAATTAGGGAGAGAAGCAGGGAATTGCTACAACTGCCAGTGTAATTGAGGGAGCCATTGTAGCTGAGGGAGCCCTGACTCCTGCTTTCATCTGGACTGTGTTGTCTAGGTGTAGTTTGACCTTTCTTTTACCCATGCTGTGACCATCTCAAATAATGTCCTTGAATATTGCTTTGAAATGAGGTGCATATTGTAGTGGCAGCCAGAAGATTGATTCCTTCTTTTTTAATCTGTGCAAACCAAAACTCTCTCATCAAGCATACTCTTAAAAAATCTGCTCATGTTTAATCCAGTGTAATTTAGAGCCTGGCAGCCACCAACTCAGTGCCTGTTCCAACTTTGTGCTGACTTCCTCTGCGACCCTTAAATCAGAGGATGATTGCCGTGGGGTCACCTCCAGAACAGTCTGTGAAGGACTCAGACATTTTCCCTGTAGCTGCAGGGAATGTGTCTGTGCTGAGCTGCACCAGGTCTTGGGGAAGAGCTTTGCAGATGATACAGCATAACTTTGCATTTTACTGAAAGACAAGGATTTTCTAGTTTAGGAAAAGAAATCCATTTCTTCATGCAGGTTGCCAGTGCTTTTGCCCTTCTTGTAACACAGTTTCTTGAAGGCAGATCTTTTAAAAGGGACCTTTTAGTCTGTCCTGAAGATTACACTCTTGTAGGGGTCTTGCCTTGATCTGTAGATTTAATGGCTTAATAAGCATTAGACCCTCCTATTATGCAGTAACAAATAGGAATACAATACTTTTATCAATATTTGGCACAATTAATTTTTTTTAATGTGAAACTAAATATTGATGCTGTCAAGTGACTGCAGCTTAAGGGCATAAATTACAAATATTCTCCTGTGAGCCTTGCTCAAATCATGCATTCATATACAGTAACCAACAAATGTCTTTCTATTCCTGTAAGCCATATGATTTGATTGCCAGATTACATGATTCTGTATTGTGCTTAGATGAGTGTTTTTATTGTTATTACCAATATTATGTTTTATTCTTACTGTAAGTGGTAACAAAAAATTAACTGCTTCCTTACACTATAAAAATAATACAGTCCCATTTGCAGAATGTCTCTAAACAGAAAATATCTTTGGGAAGAAAAAAAAATGAATAAATAATTCACGATATGATGAGTGAGTAGAAAAAAAAGGTCTTTTGATATATTTTGCTACTCAGGACAAAACCAGATTTTTAAAATAAAGTAACCACCTATTTTAATGGAGAACAGAAGCTCTTCTAAAGAAGGATTACAGTTAGTGTGTTTTTACCCATTCTGCACTTTTGCAGGTAACAGGACTTGTGAAAGTAATGATCCCTTTGATTTTCCTGATTCTTGTCTTTTTTCCATCCTCGTGTTTCTTCCTCAGCTTATTTCTTGGCTTATTTTCTAAATGAAATGTCAACCCACCCACCCAGAAGAAACCGTAATATTTCAAGAATACCAGACTGCAGCAAAACGAACTAGCCTGTCTGTAATATAAACAGGCAACAAATAAATTCGTAAAAACCTTGGAATTAAAGCCTCCCAACTTAAAACTGCCCATGCTTTCCGCACAAGAGCATCCCTGGGAAAATCAGCATGTGCATTTTCCTGTTTTCTCACGAAACCGGAGGAGCTTCATGAGCTCGCAAGTGAACAGCGTGGTCCCTTCCCGCTGGGCAGGGGGAGCCCGGGCTGGCTGCAGCAGCGGGGCAGGGGCAGAGCGCGGCGGCGGCGCTGCAGGGCGCAGGGCCAGCAGCACCCTCAGCTCCAGCCAGAGCCCCGGCAAAGCTCGCACTGCCCTTCGCACGTGAAGGGGCCGCCCCTCAACTGAGAGCAGATAAACGAGGGCCAGTCAGGCTCTGGCCTTATC